CACTTACGTATTTTCTTTGATTTAGATTATTTTCTCTATCAACATAAGCAGTAATTGATTTCTTAGAAAATTTATTTTTTATCATTTAGATCAATCTCAATATGAAAATCGATATTTACTATTTATATATAACAATTGTTTATTTTTGATTATTCAAATTAATCTCAATAATACAACGAACAGTAAGCACTTCTTGAGAAAACTTACGTATCTTTTTTATTTTGATCACTATCTATAGCAACATAAATGATAAGTAATTGTTTAGAGAAAAAATTGTTTTCTTTTTTCATTTAGATCTACCTTAAGACCAAAATGAACACTAAGTATAAATAGAAAAATATTGCGAATATAAAAATATTGCTTAGATCTATCTGGACGACATAATGAATAGTAACGCATTTATTTAAAAAGAAAGAAATATTTTTTTTTATTTAGGCCACTTTCAAGATCAAAATGAAGAGGGAACATACTTGGATAAAAAATTACTTTTAATTACTTACGTCATACGGGAAGAAAAAAAATACTGTGGTATTTCCAGTCAGTCTCACCTATTCTAATAGCTGCGAATGAGTTGTTAATTCGTTATGTTTTTATCTAAGAGTTACTCGGACTATAGATCAGATAGAATGTTTTAGTTTTTTACATATAAAGATTCGCTTTACAAAGGAATTTTAAATTTGAAAGAGACAAATTTTGTTTACAAGAAGTTCAGACGTTTGAGAAAATTGTGAGTATACAAATTGAGCATAATATGATAGGGTTCTTCGTCGTTAGGTCATTTCCTAGATGCAATCTAAGAACGATTCAACTGCGAACCATTAGAACATTAGTATACTCGTACTTTCTGTTCTTCTTCTTTCTTTAGTGGTATCGAGTTTTTTTTACAACACACAAGCCTTAATTCAGTACTTTGTTGTACTTTACTTTTGTAATGGTACGACCAAGCTCCTTTTTTTAGACTCGACCATGAATTTCTGAGGAAGATAGTTACCTAAAAAAGGGTCTATACACTTTTTTAAATGCGTTTTCAGTGATGCAGCAGTTTAAATCTTTCATTGCTACGTTCTATGTCGTTTCATGTCAGTAACATTTAAGATAATTGAAGATGTGTTTTTAAGCTAGTTGGAAAAGATAACACAAAAAATTTAAATTACTGTATCACTAAAAATGCATTTGATAAAAATGTATAGGACTCTTTGTAGGATTGTCTTCTTTAGAAATTTATGGTGGAGACTAAAAGTAGAGCTGGATAGTACTCTTTCAAAAGTAAAATATAACTATGTACTGAATTGAGGTGGGGATGTTGTAAAAAACTCCATACCGCTCTAGCAAGAAGAGAAACACAGATAACTGTTATTCACAAAATACAACTAATAAACGCATAAAATAAAATTTTCGAAAATAGTTCAACAAAAATTGCATACAATTTGAGGCTTAATTTTATGTTTTTTAATGCGTTTAAACGCTCAAAAGTTTTTCACTATTTTTGAGAAAAAAAAGCAGCCGTTTTTTGCCATCAAAAATTTCGATGCAAAAAATCTGTACAAAGGGGACAAGTTATATAGAAAATTAGACATACTTTTTTTGATACTAAATTAGTACAAAAAGTGACACGCTTGTCTGCCCGGGTAGTTGAAATAGAAGATTTACTGCATATGATAGAAAAAAAAAATTAGAATAGATTTCACAACGAATTTTCCCCTGCAACAAAACAATTCATTGACCTATTTGGTTGGCGTCCGCAGTATAAAAGACTTCGGTAAGGCATTTCAGTGTATTGAAAACATGCATACAACATTTGACAGGGCAAATCAAGTTGTATCTAGGACACAAATGGAACATTTGAAACGTACTTCGAAATGAATTTCGGCTAATTTGACAATATAAGTATCATCGCTACATATTATATGAGACACCTATTAATAGTTTTTCACGCGTTATCTACAGTATAGTTTGTGGTTTCGACCATTGCAATCTACGAAAGCATGGAGCCTCTTAAACACTCCTTTCAACACGAATGGGACATCTGCAAACATCTTCCTTCACAGATATTAGCTGATTTTACTGTATCAGCGACAAAGTCATGTATAGCGGGGTCCATGTTTGCGATTTCTGCGTACACGGTTAGCGGTATTAAACAGCGCAATACACCATCGTATACAGATGCGTGAGCCATCCTAAGCACATAAATGGAACATTTGGAACATGCTCCTCGGCGAATCTTGGCAGGATTTACTGCATAAAATCCAGGATTTTTGTGGTGATACACTAGTATTATCAAATTTTCTCAGACTCAGTTTGAGTTATGGAAAATATGAAAACGCCATTCGATAGACCGCGTCAAGTTTTACTTGGAAGACGAATGGAACACTTGGAACATGCTCCTGAGCGAATCTTGGCGGGTTTTACTGCATAAAATCCAGGATTTTTCCGGTGATACACTAGTATTATCAAATTTTCTCAGACTCAGTTTGAGTTATGGGAAATCTGAACACGCCATTCGATAGATCGCGTCAAGTTGTACTCGGAACACGAGTGGAACACTTGGAACATGCTCCTGAGCGAATCTTGGCGAGTTTTAGTAGATGGATGCAAAATGACCTATGGTGAAAATCTAGTATTTTCTGATTTTCTTGGATTTGGTTTGAGCTATCGGGAATCGGAATATACCATTCGATAGAGCTCATCGAGTTGTACTCGGAACACCTGTGGAATGTTTGGAACATGTTTCTGGGCGAATCTTGGCGGGTTTTACTGCATAAAATCCAGGATTTTTGTGGTGATACACTAGTATTTTTAAATTTTCTCAGACTTAGTTTGAGTTATGGAAAATCTGAACACGCCATTCGATAGAGCGCGTCAAGTTGTACTTGGAACACGAATGGAACACTTGGAACATGCTCCTGAGCGAATCTTGGCGGGTTTTAGTCGATGGATGCAGAATCACCTATGGTGAAAATCTAGTATTTTCTGATTTTCGTGGACGGTGTTTTAGCTATCGGGAATTGGAATACACCATTCGATAGAGCTCATCGAGTTGTACTTGGAACACACCTTGGGATAGTTGAAACATGTTCCTGGGCGAATCTTGGCGGGATTTACTCGAATCTGGCGCTAACTTCACCTACGTGCAAATTATTGATGAAATTCTTGAGCAAAACTTTTGAAAGTTGAATAGAATAATAAGAAGATGAAGTAATGAAAATATGTCGAAAAGATTGATGTAAATTGAATCTCAGAATAAGTATGTGCTTGATAGGCTCCATATAGGAATGGCTGCTGTCAGCCTTACTATGACAGTTCGTGTCATATTGTATAAGGTTTTTTAATACAGATTAGCTCATCGGTTTTACTCTTGGTCAACGAGGAAAGTTCGTTGGCAAATTCAAAATTGTTCTTTTTGTCAATCAAGCTTGCTTAACTAAGATCTGTACGATTCATAAGTTACCGTGCGCATCGAAATATTTCGGAATACAACAATATTTTTTTTTACAAATGCATATATGTACAGCAGTCGACAAAAGTACCTCTATCATATGGGAAAAAAAACTATTTAGGCTCATATTTTTGCTATAAGTAAAATGCAGTGAATCTTGATCGTTAGAGTTGATATATTAATGGATAAATTGTTAATTAAGAATAATTAGCAGCAAAAGCAATACCTGTTGAAAATGCTATCGCAAAATAGTCGACCAGTGCACGCTACTGGAATGGTTTGATGATAATTCTTTTTAGAAAAGAAAGAGCATCTTATCAACGTCAAGTCTTTTGTCTTAGTTGAAAACATGAATAAAAATATTTTGTTTGGAACGAAGAAAATTTCAGAATTGTAAGCTTGTTCGAATCGTTCTAATGTAATGGGTCATTTTGAATGAATATGTTACCATGACAAATCAAATATGAGTAAATGAGTGAGTGCCTTATCCTATGAAAAACTGTCTTCTCTCTTTATCTTCACTATTTTAACATAAAATTATTTTGTTTTACATTGAGTAATTCAATAATAAGATTCATCAACATACTATTTAACTATATATACCAAAAACAAAATTTTATCAATAATTGATTATTTTATTTAAGATTTGACGTTGAATATAGTATTTTCACTTTGACATTTGTCGATATGTTAGATAAATAATTCAAATCTTTTACTAAAAAAAAATAAGAAAAAAATTCATCTAATAGATTTAATACGATTATAATCAATATCAACATTTACCTAAAAACTAAAGTATTTTTCATCGTTAACCTTATTTATCTTGACTACTAATTAACTCATGTTTAATAACAATAAACATATTTCATTCATGATCATTGATTAGATTCAAGTCAATGAATGATTCATTATATATATAATTGCTTTTAAAATAATATATTAAAAGGATGAACTCTAAATAACAAGCATATATCATTCTATCGTTATTTAACTAACAAATATGTCCTCAATAAAACTGATTATAAATATCTTGTTGATTGTTTAATCGTTAATATTTGTTGTGTCATCTAACGAACTTCGAAACATGGTTCAAACACATTTTTTTTAAAGAACATAGAACTTGATAAATTGTTTTATGTTGAATATTATCATCAAGAGAGATATTCTTTGAGTAAAGGAATAAAATTTTTGTTTTTTTTTTTTTTTATTAATCTCGGATAGCGGCGAGACAAGAAAAAGAACATACATCTATATATATATATAAATATACACAGAAAAGCAAAAGCAGAAAAAAAATGGGGCAAGACACAAATATAGTTCTAGTCATAATAGTAATAAGGATAGTAAATAGTAATGAGAGCGTTCATAAAACGCCTTACAAAGACAACAAAAAACAACATAAAAAAAGAGAAAATGTTATATAATAGAAACGAATAGAATATATCGAACGGTTTGATAATATTCTATAGAATAAGATATTAACGTTTCGAAAAAAACAAACAGAGATGTTATAGAATAATATACATAGTGTATATATTTATATATATTTATATTTTAATAAAGTTTATTTTTTGTTTGATGATTTTTTTTGACTTTTTCCTTTTTTTGTTGTTGTACTTTTACGAACTTTTTTTCCTGTTGAACTTGCATTTGTGTTTGTATTAGCAGTATTCAATGATGAATTTGTTGTTGCTGATGATGCATTAGTTGTATTTCCAGTTGATGATTTTGATTTTGGTTTAGATTTTGATGAAGCAGTCTTAGGAGCTTTTTTCTTTGTTGATGTTGCTTTTTTTTTTAAAGTTTTTGGTTTAGTTGAAGATTTTGGTTTTGTTTTAGCTAAATTATATTAAATAAGAAAAATTTAAATAAAATATTAATAAATAAACAAACCTATTTTAACTTTTTTTTCTTTCTTTATTGGTTTCTTTTTAGTTTGATTATCAGATGTTGTTGCTGCTGTTGTTGTTGTTGTTGTTGTTGTATTAGTTGCAGGTTTTTTAGGTGATTGTTTTTTAGTTGAAGATGGTGAACGTTTTCGTTTATTTGTTTCAGTTGTTGATTTAGGTTTTGATGATGAACGAGATTTCGTTGTTTTTTTATTTTGTGTTGATGTTTTTGAACGACTACGTGATTTATTTGTTGTTGTTTTTGGTTTTTTATGAGTTGATAATTTTGTTTTATTTGTTGATGTTAAACCTAATTTAAAACTTCCACTAGCTCCAATACCTTTTGTTTGTTTTAATGTTTTATTTTTAATACCAGCACGTAATGCTGATTTAAGATGTTGATTTGCTGTTGTTGGATTAACTTTATAATTAGCTAATATATATTTTAATAAAGCAGCTTTTGATGTACCATTTCGATCATTTAATTGTGTTATTGCTTGTTTAATCATAACAGAATATTTCGGATGACTTTTTGTTGTTAAACTTTTAACATTTTTCTTTTTATTTAATGTATTTCCTTTACTTTTTTTATTTGCATTTGAACCTGTTGTTGTTGTTGTTGCTGTTTGGGATGTATTAAGTGATGTTGATGGTGTTGAATTAGTAAGATCAGTCATATTGTTTAATTTTAAATATAGATCTACCGATGAATATGTAGCAACAAAAAAAAAAGCTAAGAAATTGAGATGTGTGCGTGTGTGTGCGTGCGCGCGGGAGAACGATGTCGATAAAATGAATGAGAATAATGGTGGTAGTCTATGTTGGTCGTTGTCGTTCTTGCTTTTTTTTTCTCTTCTTCTTTCTCGGTAAACGAATCGAACCGCACATAGGACTGCTTTTGCCGATCGACATTTTTCATCATTGTTCAAACCCTTTTCAACAAATTTACTTTTTTCTGATAGAATTTTTTCAAATTTTTGAAAAATTTTAATGCCATTCGATAGAGAAGACTTTTATCTATAAAATTATGTAAAATTTTTCTTGATTCATAAATAATAATATGGAAGAAAACAAGTAAAAATACGAAGAGCAAGATAAGATTTGATGGATATTTGTAAAGTTTTCAATAATTTGATTGAGATAAAAAAATTTTTTCAAAAGAAAATCTATATGATTTGAAAGAGAAAAGTGTCTTTTATCGATATGATTTTTTCAAATTAAAAAATTTGTAGATGCGCGAAGGCAATTTTGTCAAAAAGCGAAACGTCTGGCGAACAAAATGATTAGAAAAGAAATGACAAGAAACGGCTTGACGATGTATTCTAATAGAACAAGATCGTCAATGTTACTTCACTTGATGAATGTTTACTATCGTCATTAAACATTATTTACATTCTCTATTAACAATATTATCAAATTTTTACTTTTGTTTTTTTTAAATTTTTAATAATTGAGAACTATTTATATTTTAACAAAAAAAATCATCTGTACTTTTAGAAATATTTATTTCGATTATAACAAAAAAAAAAAAAAGTTTTATTTGTAAAAACTAGTTTAAAATTTAGAGAAATTCATCAATGATCATTTCAATTAATTATATTTGAGAAAGATATATTCGTTAGGATTTCTTCTTTTTTTTTTTATTGCAAACAAATTCATTGATATAGTTATAAGATATACTTCAATATAAAAATATCTTATGATAAAAATAAATTTGTCATCAATATCCCAATGGAATATAAATATGAAAGATGACAATGATGATTCTCTTTTATCAATAACTACCTAAAAATTCATCATAGACAAACAAATAAATGTCTATAGAATAAATTAAAATTGTTTATCAATTTAAAATCAACATGTGAAATATTTGATGTTTTTTTTTATTTATCTGAACAAAAAAAAAAATTCAATAAGAAAAATTTCAATGCATAATATATCATATGTAAATCTAATACTAAGATTGAATGTCAGATATATTATTTTTCGAATAAATTTTTAATTAAGGTCACCATGTTCTAAAACTTATTATTAAATGAAAAATAAAATATCTTCTTAGACTTTTCTTTTTCGAAATTTTATATATTAATACAGAAGTTACTTATTAAGAATAACGTTTAATTAAATGACATTGAACTATTTTATTTTATTGCGTTCAAAAAAGTTTATTAAAAAGTTATTCGATATATATATATATAAACGTTTAATAGATGATTTATCTTAATCAGTCATTTAATTATTATTTTTAATTTTTTCTATTTAATATGAATTATATAGAAAAAGCATTGTCATTTGTCAAATTTTTATTTTTCAAGTATAATCATGAAAAATCTTGTGATCTTCTATTTGTCGATAACTATCATATATGAAATTCTTTAAAATCCTATTTAAGACATTTTAAAACTAATCGAACATCCTCTTATATAGGATTTCATTTCAAAAATATCGCCTTTTGACAAGTTTGATTTCTTTTTGTATTACCTTTTCAAATCCTATGAAGAAATATCTTTAAAAAAATCTTAAGATTTAGAATAAAAAAACAGTTTCTCTAAAGATAATCTATTATCTTTATTTCATTGTTAAAAATTATTTTCAATGTATAATAACAACATAAATATAAATAAGAATGGTTCTAATGTCTATCAGTATAATCACACTTATATTTTGTTTCGCAAGAATAATCAAAGATTGATTTTATTTACCCTAGGCGAACTTTTTTCTTCATGCACTTGACCTACGCAGACCTCAAGATTTGTCCATAGCGCATGAATTTCTTGTTCAAGACAAACGCTTCAGTGTTGCATGAAAATACACCTATGAATTTTTATTAAAAGTTGAGTTATTTTGAATGTAAAATTGCAAAAAAACTATAAAAAATTCTTGAATAAGAGAAACGCTTGCATAAGAATTCAAGTACATGTGCAAGAATATCAAGCGATAGAACAAGAAGTTCAAGAGCCTGAGCTTGCTAAAAGGTCTCAAGTCTTGCCTCAAGATTTGTTTATACTGCATGACTTTCTTGATCAAGATTCTTAAGTATCTCCTGCGCAGACCAAAAGAAGTTCGTCTAGAGTAAGTAAACTCAATCTATGGAATCTATCGAAGTCTATCATTTAGAAATAAACCTAACAAATATATATATTTATCCACTCATTAGTTTACAAAAATCTATTCGTGCAAAATCAGTTTAAAACGCTAAAAACAGAAGATGCTCTAGAAAGAATATTTTCTTTATTCTAATTTAACTTATACGTATAGATCTTATGTTCGATTATGAACATCAAATTAATGATCCGTTTTGTACATAAATAATATATGCTTAATGATAATTAACTTATCTTAACCAAGGAAAAAGTCACGTTTTCTATCTATATGAATAAAACAAAAAAAAAGTGAAACTTGACGAGGCAACTTTATCGAGTCACAACTACAGTTTTGAATTTTAAATGATAACTGAATGAAACTCTTATACTCATAAATAGATCTGATGATCATTATCATGTCTTTATAAGTTTATGATAAAACTAAAAACAAAGGATTCTAATTCAATTATCTTGAAATTAAAATCATCTATTGTTGATAATAGTTTTTTAAATATATGATAACAATCTAAAGATTTATTTTCAATAAAATTCATTTATTAAATATTCTTGTTAACCCTTTCCAGCCGGCTACCAGAAGACAGGTAGCAAAAACTCTTTTCGTGCATTTTTGTTGCTCCTAGACCATAGAGATAGGAAAAGTTTATTTTTTAGAACCAATAAGTGCTTCGGCATCTAATTGCTTTATGTATCCATTTGGATACATCCGGCCACTAGGGGATGAAAATTTTGAAAAACTCATTTTTTTGTCTGTCAAAATTCAATATGTTATGATTTTGTTACATCTGTACCTGTAGACGTAACCACAGTTTGTCCATGTTTTGCTGGCCAAAGCTTAAATATTTGTAGAATGTTCTGAAATTCTGCAGTACGATGCAAAATTAGCTCAATTCGGTCAACAAATTTCTGAACATTCTGTAGTATTCAGAACTAGACTATTACTAAATGTTTAGAAAATCTCTAGAATGTTCCTGAATGTTCAGAAATTTTTTGGACATATTGAGCTAATCTTGCACCGTCCTGGAGAATTTCAGAACATTCTACAAATATTTAAGCTTTGGCCTGCAAAACATGGACAAACTGTGGTTATATCTACAGGTATAGATGCAACAAAACCATAAAATATTGAATTTTGACAGACAAAAAAAAAATGAGTTTTTCAAAATTTTTGTCCCTTAGTAGCCGGATGTATCCAAATGAATACATTCCCATTTTTTATTATTCGAGTTTTTTAAATAATTCGTCCTAGTGATGCAATAGACTATAGGTCTACGAAGGAAAATTAACAACTACTTGCTTCGAAGTTTGATTATTTAGAGGCACGAGAAAAGGATTATTTCTATACGGACGCTATTTTGGATCATTTGAGGTAGAGTCGGCCATTTTCTTAGTGAGTGTTTTTTCCTTCTTCTAAACATGTGAATGTGTGTTGAAATGTGTTAACTCATTTATTAAATCGTCAAAACATTTCATATCATCACTACAAATTACTTCTTCATAAAGCATTGGCTTAATGTATCCAAATGGAGACATCCGGCTGGAATGGGTTAATATGATAGAGAATACTCAATGATCAATTGATAATTGTACATATTCTTCTAAAGTTTAAATCTGTTTATTTGATCGGTAATGATCAGCAAAATCTGAGTTTGAACATAATTAAACATTTCAAAGAATTTTCTCGTCAACTGAAAAACTTTAATTGGTCAATATTGACCTTCGTAAGACATAATTATATCTCGATATATACTAAATGAAATATAAATAATTAGTTAAGATTTATAATTCTTTATTTATATTTCTATATCTTATAAATTCAAATACATTTAAGTTTAATAAAATATCAGTTAAATATATTGTAGATCAACAAATTAGAGATTAATATATGTCTCTTATAAAAAGTTCAAACTATCTATTTAATATTAAGTTTGATATTCTAATAAAGAGAAATATTTCAATAATATATATATATATGAATCGAAATAAATAATTTAACTAATTTCTTAATCGATTAAAATAAATAATAATAATAAAAAAAAGAAAATAAGTTATTTGTTCTTTTTTGTTTTTGATAAAAAGATAAATATAGAATAATCGAATGTATAATTATGCATAGATCTATTTATGAATAAAATGATTTAAATAATATAGATTACTGTAAACTGTATTTTTTTCAAACAACTAATCGAGAGAAAAAAAGAAAAATAATTTTTAAATAAAATTCACAAATATTAAAATAATCATTAGAAAAATGTTCGATATTGATATATTAATTAATGATAATGATGAAACAATATCTTGTTTTTTTCCTCGTTCCATATTTAATGTTGAACGTAAAGCAACTGATAAATTACGATTATTATCTTTAATATAAAAATGAAAAATTTGAATATCTTATAATAAAATAAACTTACCAATTACTTTAAGATGAAAAATTTTTGATATTGGTTTAATTCCAGTTACCAAACATGAATAATAACCTTCATCAAATAGAATAATTTGATGTATTTCAAGATTTAAATGATCTCGATTATCTTTATCAATAAAATGTATTAAATGATAACGATTTGATGTTATATATTTAACTGAATCAACATATAAAAGATTTGTTAATTTTTGAGTTTCATTCATAAAATGAACACGAGACCATGTTACCTTAAGTTTTAACTTTTTTATTTATTTATCTTGCAAAAAAAAAACAAACAAACAAACAAATTTAAAAAACTTACATGTCGTCGATTTCGATTTTGTATAATACATGATAGTTTAGCTGTATGATTAACATAAGTTAAGATTTCATTTTGTGTTGAAATTATCTCCGGTTCATTATTTGATGATATACAATTAGCTAAATAAAAAAAAACAAAAAAAAAAAAAAGAATATTTTATTTCTTTTAAGTTCTTTTTCTTTTCCAATATAATAAAACTTTTACTTACTGTTTATAATGAAAAAACTAAGACAAACAAATATATTCCAGAGAAGAACACTCTCTTGTTTATATTCCATTAAATCAACGATAAGAACTTCTTTTTTTTTTTTTTTTTATTAATTGAACATATTTGTTCAAAATCAAATGATCTTATAACAAATAATTTTATTATCGAATGACTTTCGTCTACAATAATATAAGAATACTCAACATATTATACCGATTAATATAAAAGCTTCGCGAATAGATGCATATATTGATCGATTGAATAAATGTCTGAATTATTTCTCTTCGATTAAGCAAAGTAAAGCAAATGAAAGAAAGAAAGAAAGAAAGGAATTATGATTGAATAGTCATAATAATGTACCTGATATATATTTATAAAGGAAGAAGATCTAATAACAAATGAATAACTATCAGTTAATGATAGATCTATTTCATTGAGTTTTCTTTTGAGAACATATACATTCTTTGATTCTTATCTTCATTGTGAGACCATAACGACTTCTTTCATTCACTCATTCACTCAATTATATACGTATATATGCATGTCTTATCATGTATTGTTTTTTTTTCTAGAATTGTTTAAGAGAATCACGCAATTCTTCATCTATATATATATATGTAGTGTCTAGAAAGTGAAGCAGAAAGAGGTGATTATAACAGATTTTCTATGTCGTCTATTAACTTGAAGGCATAACACGTCGGTTCATCTAAAAAAAACAAACATAAACATACGCATACGGATGTTCTCAAATGATTATCAGAGATATGAACTAGTTCTTACAAAATAAACTTGTTATATTAATCAATTATGAACGATATTCATCTTATTATGAACTTTTTAAGAAAAAGAAAAAGAAAATCAAAAACTCGAATTAAATTATTATACTATATCATTATTCGATGTTTAAATATAAATTATATTCATATAATCTAATTTATTATTATTAGAATAATATTTATTTCGACACGGTTAATGAGTTCGTATTATAAATAATATCTAATCAATGATCGATGAGAAATCAATATACACTAAAGCACGCAACAATATATCGAAAAATAGAAGTGCAAAGAAAAGAATTTTTAATACCAATATCGTTATGATGATTGTAAGGATTCATCATTATATGATTGTTCTATATTATTCCTAATACAAATGAAAAAAAAAACGAGACAGAGAGAAACTAAAAAGAAATTACACATATAATACTATTCCGATAAAAAAAAGAAAACAAGAAAGAAAAAAAAAACGGAAAGTAACTATTTCTGTGGTGATTGTTGATAGTATTATGTTCAATATATGACGCAATATGAATAGATGACATTCAAAGATTATCAATATTAAAAAAAAAAAAAATTTCTAAAGCAAACATGGATCAAGCTCAATTGAATAGAATAATAATATCTAGAGCGGCGTAATCAATTCGTTGAATAAAGTTTTTTTTCGTGATTACTACAATTAATAATCTACTAGAATGAATGTAGTTTCATCAATATATTTCGAGTGGTTAGACGAGAAAAAAAGAAATGGCAAACACGAGATAAATCTAACATCAGAGAGAAAAAAAAAAAAGAAATCAACATACTCTCTAACCATTCATTTGGCATTGACTATGACTATTCACCATAAACTACATCAACTATGTTAACCCTCGATCGAAATTCAACATCACTTTTTTTTTCTCTTTCTTTCTTTGTCTCTTCCATTTTTGTTGATGTTATGTGTAGTACCAATGACGTTTGAACAACACTCTATTCATGTATATACACACATATTAGAACATACTAGGAAAGACGAAAGAGTGAATAGTGAAGTAGTCAATTTAATGTAACAATAAGAGAAAAAGAAAAGAAACTAGCATTGAACTTCGAACGTGATGTCCATTAAGTCACGAACTATCAGAAATATGTCGAATAAAAGCCGATAGGAAATGTTTTATACAATTCTTTAACTGTATTCTGATGCAGTTCAATTGGTTTTCTTTTTGCTATCTATATTGATATAGTTAATCATACTTCTAAGCATTATTTTATTTCATCAATAAACTATGAAATATCTAATCATTATAAATCAATAGAATAAAATAGTGGAATTATTATTTCAAATAAAACTTCCTTATTTTGTTCATCGTCAAAGTATTTTCAATCTATAATGATGAATAATGATAGAAAGACAACAACAACAAAAAAAAAAGAAAGGTATCATATAGCATTAATATGAGTAACTATGTAATTGACCTATATATCCGTCTTATTTATTTGACAATCGTAAGCATAAGAGTCTGATTATGATAGAAAAATCAATGTAAGATTTCCTATTAAGATGTTGAAAAAGAAACAAATCAATATGATATATAGTTTTGATGACCTTTCAAGTTGATATATATAAATGATGCGTAAAATTCAACCAAGTCAATATGAAGTTTTTTTTTTCATGTGAGTTTAATAATAAAAAAAAGAAAAAGAAAACGTATTGATTGTCTCAATAGGGAGAAAAAAAGGTAAGGTGGTTAACATCCGTTTCCTGTTGCCGTGCAGACATTTAACACCTTTGATCATTTATAATATACATATATATATCGGTCAATGCACTATAGAGACATATATATATTGATCGATATATTGACCTTAGATTATTTTATTTCAATTTTTTCTTTTTCTATACTCTGATTTTATGGTTAATGAAGCGAACAAGGAAAATCGAATAGAACAAAGAAGAATAACAACACCATTAGCAGAGACGGTCTATTCATACAAATCTATTTTAACCATAAAAAAAAATCTATGCAATTGAATTTATTCTTTAACAATGATCATACTTTAGTCATTACACTTTTTCTTTCTTCTATTTAATATTCTAAATATGATAAATTCTCATAGTTTTGGTTTTTTTTTTATAATTTAATATAGAATTCGTTGCATTTTTCTACGATATTTGCATCTAAGATTAGAAAAAAGTAAATGAAAATCGGTTTATTTTATTCTTTCATTTAAATTTTCTTGTCAAAAAATCTTAATTATCGTTATTTGACATATTCATATTCGACAGTAGAATTTCTGAGACTTAATTTGTCTTTCAATAATTATCTCTTTATTGATTTATATTGATAAAAGTGTATATGTCTATTGTCTATATATTCGAAGTTGAAAAAAATTAACTAATATTGAGTATTTAAAACAAACACATATCGATTCTATGTGATAGTTTTTGTATTCTATTTAACAATATTTCAAGCTTTTCTCATTCCATAATATATCTTGAATTCTTTCAATTTACAAAACAATTAAAGAAAATCATTGCAATGTTATAATAGAATGTGTTGAATACTTTAGAATTTCATCTCAGTTACTCTTCTCAATATTGAATTTATGGATGATAAATATTAATATATTATTTACCATTTATTCTATGAATTTACAAGAATCTCGTTTATAATCTTTTCGTTGAACTAAATTATAATTAAATGATTATATAAGAAAAATTTTAATAGAAAAAAATCAACCAGTATGAGAAAAATTTCTATTCTAAAATCTCTATTATGATAGATATTTACTAGACTTTTTTTTTTATAAACGTGTTCCTATTATGTTATATAGGATAATATTAATAATTTTAGTATTATTATTAAATGCCATAAAATTGTTTGTCAATATGATTTATTGGAACAAATTGTTGAGAAAAATCAATGAAATTTTCGAATGAAAATAAACAATATGTTTAATATTACAACATACAAAGATTATTTCTATGAAATAGTTAAATATTGTTAAGTTTATTAAATAAGAATTATTCATATAAACAAAAAAAAAAATTCATGAAATTTTTGTTTAGGAAATTTTTATTGTCTAACTATACTTATTTAGTATCAATCTATTATTATATATTTATTTTAGGATTATTTATAAATAATTATTAAAATGTTACAATAAACAAAACAAAAAAAAGAAGACGTATCTAAACCTAATGAAGATTCAATCAATTAAAGCAGATTATGCTTGTCGTACTTAAGATATTCTTCTGTCATATGAATCAGACAACACTATTCCAGAAATAAATAACAATTATTATCATTATATAATCAATGAGAAGAATTGCAACAACTTGTCAATATTGTGAATTAATGATGGATGTTAAACAAATTATTGATTTATAAATTCATGTCATTGATTAATAAAAAATATTCTTCATTTCATCTAAAATAACACTTTCAGTTGCCAACTAGGATATTCTAACTAAATATGATCTACATTCTTTCTTAAAGTAGAATAACATCAATAATTGTGAAACAAATGAAAAAACATCTTACTAGATATAAAATTCATCTGTCAAATACTTTATAAATATGCTAACTCGATCTATTTTAATGTTTCTTTTTTTTTTCTTCAAATAATGATAGGACTCTTATTAACAAATAATATGTCAACTAATTTCTTATGTATTGTTACGAACAAACTTTTCAAAGGGCGATCAACGTTGAAGTTAGCAAATATTTTCAATATTCAATTGAATATAACATCATTTATTAAGAACTCTGCATCAGAGATGTCCATCGCGGCTCAAAATCTGCCGCTGCCGCGCCGCGGCCAAAATCAAACAAAGCTGCCGCGCCACTTCCGCGACGCGATGGCCTGTTAAAAAAAGCTACCGCGCCGCTGCCGCGCTGGTATTCGAAAAAATGTTTTGATTTTCAAGGCTTTGACCGGTTTGAAATAGAACTGATGCCGCTAATCGATCAGATTCGCTAAGTCTTACAGTATAGCATACATAAACATGCAGATTCTGTGAAAATTCATGAATTTTTGAAATTTTTTCCTAAAAAGCTGCCGCCGCCGCGCCGCGATAGTTTTTGGAAAAAATCTACCGCTGCCGCGTCGCGATAGACATCTCTGCTCTGCATTAGAGATCTTCATCTATGTATCATCGAAGATCATTCAAAATAAGACAATCGACATCATTGTCAATATTTGTCCATAGATGAAGTTTGACTATGATTGGTTATTATTCTTTGACAAGTTTTCATTGACTATAGTCAAGATTGTGAGGTATTCTTCAATATTGATCATCAAGTTAGTC